TTTACATTCCTAGTAACTTATTGATTATTTTTAATATTAGTACAAAGGTTCAGACCGGTCCGACAACCCCAGAATGCCCTAGGCCCCTTGTTTACGGCTACGTTTACGTAGGTACATCCTGCAATGGAATTCATGATCCAATCTACTCGTCTCGAAAGATGTACTGGGTTTATAATCCTTATCGGAGAAGACATGTTCTACCACCAGAACCATAGGCTATCGTGCCGCTCGAATTAGCGCTGATATTACGGTTGCTGTAATTGCAGCGCCCCTGCCTCAAGCCCGTGGCCAGGGGGTTCGTAGGGTTTGAAAGAACCCCCATTTTTCAGAAATGCCCTTTTAAATTTTGTTTTTTAAAAGTATTATTTGCATGGAAGTCAAAATATTTGAAATTTTTTATTGCCATTTCGGACATCTGAGGTGTTATATTATTTAAAATTCACCCAAGCCATGGTGGGCCTGAGCAAGGACTCAAAGTGCCCTTTTGTGAAAAATTATATCCCTCTTTAAAAATCCTGCCTATACGGGCTTGTGCCCCGCTCGGCCATTCGACTCGCCATTCGCATTTTAGTATAATGTTGTACATGGTTGTACTAAGGTTCTGTAGTATTATATTCAACTTCAATCACATGCTATCATATACTTCACCTTCTTCACACTGCTTGCCCGCATATGATGTCATTGTACAGTTGCAGTAGAAGTCGTACCAAGTTTCCATACAAATCCCCCCATTCAGACATGGCCTCGGCAAGCAGTGATTTTCACATTTTTCAAGAACACCTGTAAAAAATAACCATCATATTATTATTATTATCATCATTATTATTACTCAGACTCTCTGAGTATTTTGTAGCGTCAGTGGTTCAGGCTCTCAACGTTGCGGTTAGAGTTGAAACCCCCTATGTATATTGTCCTTGAGCAAGGCACTTGAAGGCTGGTTTCATAAAATTGCTACATGCTATCACCAACAGCTTTTGGCCACGCTATTAGTCAGTCGAATCAGAGAGCATTACTGATTGCGTCGGGGACAGCTGAGCATTGTTATGATTGCAGTGAAAACACTATAGTGACAGTGTAGCGATTTTATGGAAACTAGACTTTACCTATATTTGCCTCTCATCAACTAAGACTATAAAATATGATAGGATGTTGTGGCATTGAATGTATATTGGTTTGTGCACCAATTTACAGGTTATTAACAATTGTGATTCTGATATCTCGTCGTTTGAAATAACGATATGTTATTATTAATACTGCACAGTATAATTTTATATTACTAATACGTTTGGTTAGAAGTCCATAATTAATCATTCTAATCTACGAAACGCTAAAACCGCAAAAATTATATAATACCTGATTTTATCGATTGGGCTTTACCTGGTTTATAACTTCCCTGTAATCTGATTGGTTGATTAGCTACGACCAGCCCTCGAATGCATCCCTTTAAAGCATTCACCTTGGAGTTAGGCTTACCGCCAACATACAGCTTTACAAATGCATTGGGCGCAGAAGGTTTTGCTTAAAAATTAAGAAAAAAAACTGAAATAAAATGTGTTTGCATCAGATAATTACAATAAATGCAAGTGAATGGAATAATGAAGTTTAATACCAGTGGCATAATACCCATATTATTATTTTATTATTATCATTATTATTATTATTATTATTATTATTATTATTATTATTATTATTATTATTATTATAAGCTCTCACTGGCTAAAGTCTGGTGTGCCGCACTATAAGGGAAATTCGCCCTGTACCACTGGGTCCATGTGGCCCTCACGGTAGTAGTAGGTAGTATGGCTCGAAGTAGCCTTATCCTGGGCCTTGGGCCTCTTCGTTACACTATTTTTCAATACATTTTTGTTGGGGAATGCAAAATGATGCTTTCCCATTCCAGTAACGGCCTATAGGCCTAAATGTAGGCCTCGAACATCGAAGGGCTACATTTTACGAAACTTACCAATACCCTGCGAAAATGGATCACTGTAGAACTGGTCAAGAAGTCCACGTGGAGCTAGTGTTGTCGCCTTTTCATCGCCTACAATCAAACTCACCCCTTGTTCATCCCTCTCCACAGAAACTTCCAACCAATCACCGTCCGAGAATTCTCGCACTGGGGGGTTAAATGTATAACAAAACAATAGGCCTATGCCACAATATATGCTATATTGTTTATATCTAATGTGCTTAAACTACAACACTACATGGAATTACCTTGGTTTTTATATGAAGAAAATTAATACATGACACTTGAAGTGAAAATTCAGATATTATTCAATGGTTAACGAAACAAAGACTTAAAAAATAGTTTCAGAAAACTGTATTGGCTGTAGGTCATTCTGTATCATTGCTTTATAAAACATTGTCCATCCTGTTCGAACCTCAAAACGACTAAAGCGAGTATCGGCTAGTGTACACCCAAATAGAGAGAAAAAAGGGGGGAAATACATTCTTAGTTGTATTACAAAATCTGAAGTAGCCTAATTACCTTCCCTTTTTAATATGATGTTCCTAATTACTCGGTTGGAATTCCACGTCATTTTCAATTGACCATGACTAATCTCCAAGGAAACAAAGTTACTGAAGTTGTCTTCTGCGTACAGCAAAAGGGCGTTTGAACTTAATGTCCGAAAACCAACGAAAAAACTCGACGTGAAGATGGACGAGTTTGTTAGGTCAATACTCAGGTAGGTATTTCCTTCTGGAAAGCTTACAACATCATCATTATAGTCTGTACGAAATGAAAAGATATTCATTTAAAATCATCTATTGTTAAAATGAGAAAAAGGTATTCTAATAGACCGAAATAGTTTTCGTTCATCTACAGACATTTTACTGTAACAATATTCACCACCCAATAGTGTTTGTTTCTTGGTGGCAAGATATAGATAACCCAGCAAACACAAAAACGTTCTTATAACGTTCGCGAACGTTGTGGTTAAGTATGTCACAAAATGACGTTCAAAACAACGTTGTAAGAACGTCCAAACCTTGTGAAAATTAGGTTATAAGTATCTTATCACCAAACTGTAACGTTATTATAGCATTCTTATAACGTTGTTAGCTTGGAATTTATTTGATTTTTTTAAATGAGCTATTCAAATTTTTGTTTAGGTATTTTCCTGTATTTTGACTGATAGTACATCTTTTTAACAATCAAAACAGATAATAGTATATCTTTAATTATGGTATTGGCTACACTTTTGTACTACACCAAAATCGTTCTCATTCGAACATCTAACAACTATTTAATATAAATGACTTAAACTATAAAGTATAAACGTAATCTCACTGATTTCACAATGCTCGCCAGAGGTAGCGCGATCAAGACACACGCATTCATATGACGTAAAACGCTCGATACACCGCCCTCCATTTTTGCAAGTGTTCTCATGACATAAGGTGCTACATCCGACAGCCATTCCCTCTCGTACAACACTCCTAAATATTTATAGTAATAATAATAATAATAATTTTGTTTTAAGCAGTGGTAATATAATAATACTAATGAATTAGTTTTATGGTCCCAATTATGATGAGCGGTTAACCCGCTGGTTTAAAATGTGTTTTTAAAAAAGAGATAGAAAGCTCTATATAATAAATGAGTACTCACTGTTGGATGGTGTAAATATCGGCGAGATACTTCACCCGGTTGTTTATTATTAAACCAGCAATGCATCCCACCATGCCTTGCACATTAGGGTCATCCATAACCTCAGTACTAAAAAGAGGAAATTATTCAAAAAAAAAAGAAACGATTTATTAATTTTTGACACAGCAGTATGAAATTACCTCGATTCAAATAATTATGGGGTGTCCTAGTCCCGCATTACCTTAATGAGTGCTGTACATAATCAAGAGATCTTTCCGTAGTGTAAAAACTTATCAGCTGACCAGTCAGTAATACGCGCTTCTCCCACAAACACGTGATTTTGGGTACGTTTACGTTGTCATCAACAGCGTGCGTACCTAGTAGTCTTGAAATGGGAGGGGGAGACCGTGGAGTGTGGTGGGGGGGGGGGTTCGATGAATAAGTGAGGGGACACCAGGTCGCAAAATAAGGTGATAGGAGGTGATTTTAAATACTGTACTTGTGTTTTGGACATTTTCAATAGGGGTGAGGAGGGACTTGGGATGGCCCCGCGCATCCCCCTAGATACGCCACTGCGGTCTATCATGTACACTTACCTCAAAGATCCACCAAGAAGGAAAGGTCCATCATACGCTTTCACCTTCTCTCCTTCTTTAAGCATGACTACTTCATTTTCCATGTCGACACTAAACCTTACTGTGTTTGGACTCTGCTCAATCGTTATCAAATGCCAATCTCGATCCGTCAACTGACGCGTTGTTTTCAGATGTACGACACCTTTTCGTCCATTCTGGCGATACGAAAATTCCATCGTGTGATCTATGGTATAATGGATATAAATAATCTGCCAAATAAATATTATTGTAAGGTCTTCAC